GTTCATGGGAAAACATGGGGGGCTGGTGTGGTCCTGATCTTCTTTTTCACTAATCTCTCGTCTTCTAGTTCTATAGCCACAGCTTTTTTTTCACGTGTTGGGTCCTGCCTGGTTGAGATTTTTTCATGGCGATTGCAGTGTCATCTGTTGATTTTTAGAACGACAAGCTAGAAGAAGCGTGAGGGCCAGAACGATTCCTGCTAAAGCAGTCAGTCCAATCTCCCGTTGCTTTCCATTGGCGCTCAGGCTCTAATAGACGGCCACAAGGGACGTGCCTCTTGGCTCTAGCCTTGAGTCAGGTCGTGTGTGGGCCGTACTTGTCGCGGTCGGTGCCTCGATGTCGCCCATGCGACGATCATGTAGCGGCAGGGGCATTATGCATGTCCGATTGTCCGCATATCCGTTCTATTACACATAATTATAATTGAAATCGTGGGAGCGTTCGCCCGTGTGATCGTTGCGTTACGCTTTGGTTTATCCAAAAGCAAGACATACGGTGCCAGTTTGATTGCATGTCCGCCTATCCGGCTCTAAAAATGTCATGAAGCCTGATACGAGCAAAGGGATGGATACTTGTATGGGATTTTAGAGAAGCTTGGAAGCTTTAAAAGCATTTTATAGGTATGCGTAAGGGAATGCACAAACAAAAAGAATAAACTAAGATGTGAGTGCGGATTGATACACGCCATTTGTTTGACCCTACCACCCGAGTGCAAAAGCTCTCATGTCTGAGCTAGGTTGATGGTACATTTTATGAGCCCGAGATTTATTCACAAGGCTTTCTCGCCCTTTTAAGAAAAAAGAACGTACGAGAACCGGGTGTATCTTAATTTCCTATTAATAGATACTATTGTATTTCCGAATAAAAATGCCTTATACCTCCACCAAAATGAAGTACATGGAAAATGTTAAGAGGATAAGTGGGGTCGATAAACTCACCTAACTGCTCTTACTCTAGCATAAATGCGATATCAAAATACTATTATTAACAGTTCAAATGAACAGAAGAGATACAGCCTGCCTCAGGATAAAGACTTTGGAATATATAATAAATTATAGTTATAGTGGAATGCAATTATTGAGCTCCATGTGCGTCACCATAGCGGGTCAAAAGAAGAATAGTCTCACAGTCAATTTCATCCACAGCCGCAATCCCCCGCCATGTAAAGACAATAATAGAGTGTGAATCATAAGGAAGTGCTTAGTTAATCTTTGCCACAAGCCTTAGGTTTGATCTTACACTTTAGATGACATGGACCGCCGCATGGTACCGGCCATTTTGATGATAAGAGGAAAGGAAAAATAGGTGCCTCAATGTGTCGGTGTGTTTTTTGGTTAGTGGCAAGGCGATTGATTCTCCGAGTCTTGATTTTCGCGAGATGGCCCTTTTGTACTTTCTAAATCGACCGGGAAGACCCATTTGCTAGGTTGTAAAATTGATATCGTCGATGCTTGAAATGGATGGAACTAGCGGAAACCTCTGGTAAGAGAATATGGCTCGAACCACCACGAATTGATCGCCTATGAGCACAAATAACAGGGTTAGGGTGTCCGAATCTGTGATGATTGGCCGTTCAATGCTTATCGACTGGTTGAGGGTCGCTCAACCCCATTGGCTTAGTAGTCCCGTGTGCCTGATGACCGTGCTTGCAAGATTTCGCAAACAGCCAAAGAGTCTCTCCACTCGAGACATGTCGTAATTATGTAATGCATCACAAGCCATTCAAACTATCCGGAAGTTCGGTCACAATGGAAACCGAACTCCCGACCTTGTGAAAGACAGATGACCCATTCATAGCGAGATAAACCGGTATAAACCTACCAGTTCGATCACGCATGCTAGATCACAACACTAAATATCAACTTCAAAACACGAAAGAGTAGCTGCTTGGGAATTCCAATGACAACTCTATATTTGGAACGAAGCTTTCAATGTCAACAAACATCTTATAATCACCAATCCTCAGAACACGCAAGGGGACTATCCCATGCAAAGACGCAAGAGATCCATCACTTCGCATTCGAATTCTCCAAATCACCCGGCAAAACCTATGCGACTTTTGCGAAAGCTTTGGGTTTCTGTCTTGTCTCTTTCGTAATTACGATTATTAGCATACCGATGTGGAAAAGGGATCGACGATTGTTCACTAAAACGTGCAAGCAATGACAATTGATTCGAGCCATTTCAAGTAATGAGCAGTCAAAGGTCGTATCCAGACGTGCGGGTCAATTCACCGTTAATCTCTTCGTTGACGTCGGACCGAGCACGACTTTTGCTCCCACGTTTCATGGTCGATTTCGCACGCGACCGATGCAGTTGATTTCGTGTTTTGACCAAACTTTCAAAAGGCTAGACGAACCCTCACCTGAAATTAACGAAGCATGTCGTGGACTCCGACGAACGCTGGCTATATCGACGTATAGATTAAATAAGGAGCGAGCGCGAAAACATGACTTGATTTTAGGTCGTCGGTCGATTAAGAACCCGAGGCCCTGTTCGGGATTAATCAAGAACTCAAGAAAGGGTTCCCAAAGAGCCGCGCGACCAGCTCTCGAGCTCGCCCGTCCGGCGGGATCCGAGTGATTGGAACGCAGCGCATGCGGCAAACGACCGAATATTCCACGGGGCGGGGATTCAATCGGGATAAAAGAGCGAACATACGACAATGACCTCCTTCTAGAACATACCCAACATGTGGATACGAGAGGGTCCACGTTCTTTTGCACTTCCATGAATATTGAAATACTTCTGAGGATGGTGTAGTTATAATAATATCGAAAGCTTCGATTCGCATCCGGATGATATGGAACGGAAGCCTTAGCTTGCGTGTCGGGGGACGGGGGACGACAAAACCCTTTTTTGTATCTTTCGTAATGCTTTACGTTATTGCTCCCCAAGCAACTCCCTAAACGACAAAACCCCACGCACGTTCTCGCAATGAACGGGAAGGCAGCAAGGTCAATTACTGTCCGCTCGCGCACGCCACGTAGGTTGGCAACTTGGCATGCGTGCTGAGCGAATTGGAAGAAAAATCGAGTCGTGTTCGGGGTGATCGAGTTGCTCGATCAAGAAGATCGGTCGCATCTCGATTTCTTTCGTCGGCAGCAAAGATTAGGTTTTGTGGTTTCGGGACATGTATCGAGGAAAAAGTGTCGCGTTGTTCCCGTCGGTCCGTTGGCGACGAACCAAACCGGCCGTCACTAGACTCTTTTCTTTTTTGAAGTGATCAGTGAATTTTTAGTACATGTTCAATTCAATCCCTGAACTATATGAAAATGTTCAATGCAGTCCTTTCCATTAATTTAAGTTCAGGGACTACATTGAACATTTTCATATAGTTCAGGGACTAAATTGAACATGTACCAAAAGTTCAGGGATGACATTGAACAAATTAAAAGTTCAGGGACCACATTGAACATTAACTTAAAGTTCAGGGACTACATTAAACAAATTAAAAGTTTAGGGACCAAATTGCACATTGGGCCAAAGTTCTGAGACTGTTTATGTCATATCCCTTATTTTTTTGAAGTGATTAGTGATGCTGCGGCTTTCGGATCCGGCTATGAAGAGCTCGACGTGTTTAGGGTTAGGGATTCGTCTGTTGTGGCGATAGGATAGCTTACGAACAACTATCGATGAAGTCTATCGATTTTCACATGTTTACTTAGGTTCACGCGACTATGAAGGGAGTTTAACTCCTCTCAACTTTGAGTCTCTTCTCATGCCCTAGTCCTCGTCCGCGGCCTTTTGCTTTTCGCGAGTCGCTTCCTAATTGGTTTGACGAATTAGGCATTTGTTTACCTAATATAAGTATGTGCCACGGGAACAATCACTTAATAGGATCTGGATTCAATCACATCACTCCATTCAGCCTCATTTTGCCAAAAATGTTCTTACACTTGTGAAACAATAATATTTGCGCGCTTAGCATCCTAATTCGAAAAATCCCTTTCTTTTCCCTTGCCGGTTTGCACCTCCCGCGCTCCGTTGCGCCTCCTCGCCACGCCTCCCATTGCCACCACCTCCATCCGTAATCTCTCTCTCTCTCTCTCTCTCTCTCCCCGCACAAGTGTGTGGGAGAGAGAGAAGCGATAAAGGTACAATTACTCACTTCCAATTGAAAATTTTACAAGTTTTGAATCATATATTTAATAAGACCTAACAAGTATGCCAAGGACACTCTTTCGGCATCATCGATCAATCTCATATCACTCACTTGTAAAACAAAACGAAGAATAGAAAATTGCCCTTCAATTTCAAACTTGGGGAAATGTGGCATTCGAGGCACGATATGCAACACATCTTACCGTTGCGGGACCCCATCTTTTGTCGAAACCCTACCAAAATTCACATGGTAGCGAGTCATTTTCACAAATCGCCCTCATCATGAGAAGCAGGCAAGTTCCACCATGCTTCCTTCTCCTTTGGAGCTATGTCTTCCTCTCCCTTTTCTGATTTGTAAGTGACGATCGACATCGTTTGTTCATGGGAAAACATGGGTGGTGTGGTGTGGTCCTGATCGTAGCCCAGATCGATTGCTTCGTTTTCACTACTCCCTCAACTTCTAGTTCCAGCCACAGCTTTTTTCACACGTTGGGTCCTGCCTGGTTGAGATTTTTTTATGGTGATCGCAGCGTCATTCGTTGATTTTTAGAGCGACAAGAAGAAGCGTGAGGGCCGGAACAATTTCTGCTTGGCTGTCAGTCCAATCTCATGTTGCTTTCCATTAGTGGTTTCACGTAGTCACATGTATCATGTTTTTGAAAGTTTTGGAACTTGATTGCACTTTCGTGACAAGTTTTAGCATTCGATTGCACTTTTTGAAAGTTTTAGCACTCGATTGCACTCTCATAACGAGTTTTAGGGCTTGATTGCAATTTCTAAAAATTTTAGGATTCGATTGTACTATCGTGATAAGTTTTCGCGCTTGTAGTGCACTTATCCCAAAAAGAAATTGCCGGGGGACGAGAGACACAGAAAGAGAGAGAGAGAGGGAAACTGAGCCCACCGGGCCGTGAAGATCCGGGCTTTTTCCATGTCGATTCGCGTCGTTGGGGATGACGGATCAGGACGACGTCGAGAGCCCACACGGCGGCGAGGACCTGCGGTACTCCGAAGCCCATCTCTCAACTCGAAAGATCAGCCTGGCCTCTCGCCGGCGTGGATACGTCCTTCGGTGTCGTGGGGTGTTGTGGGGAGGGTCGTGAATGTCGAGCTTGAGGATGTGCCGTGCAGTGGGCCTTCCTCCTCCTCCTCCTCCTCCTCCTCTGCACCTCAACGGCAACTCCTCTTCGAGCGCGAGCGACAGCGTCGACATGGTTTGCTCCCCTCTGGCTCTCTCTTTCTCTCTGTAGCTCTGTGCCCGTGCGCGCGCGCGCGCGTTGTGTAGTATTGTACTGCATGTGCATGTGCATGTGCATGTGCATGTGGAGGTGATATTTGGGTGGTTTTTTGGTTGCCAGGCGAAGCCGAGCGTGGCGGGGCACAAGTGGCGTCTGGTGATAGCGTACGACGGCACCCGCTACGCAGGTCCCCATTTTCTTGCCTCCGAAGTGTTTGATGTTTTGTCTCAGTGATAGTTAGTGTCGATATATATTGCTTATGGCGTGTGTCTGTGTTGTTCTCGCTGACTGGCTGTTGGCTCCCCGTGCACTTTTTTATTTTGTGTGACCGTGCGACTGGAGCAATTGTACAAGGTTTTGGCTTTCTTCTTGCTTTGATCATAGTGAACAATCTGGGTATAATTGGCTGTCCTTCGATGTTGTTCCGGGTGTAGTTTGGAGGGTATAAGCAATCACGTGGAATAAAGTTATGGCACTTTTATGCTGAGATATCTAGTTTCGCCATCCTGAAGATTCGATTTTGTGCTAGCACACCCAGTTGAGCTCATTGAAAACTTTCAAGAAACAGAATCGGCAGGAAAAGTGGGAAGCTTTGAGGAACTAAAATGAGGATGCTATTAATTTCTCCATTTCCGCGAAGCCTAAGCTTTTAAAAGCGTTGTTGACAATTTTTCCATATTCTTTCATTAAATTGGAGGAGCCATCAACCTATATTTTACATTTCGATGCTTTAGCAGTTAATCACCGTTATACTTTTATTTTAGGTGATAAAAAATCTTGGTGTGGGAATATTTCTGTGTGGAGTTGGTTTCATGTTTTTAGATGTTGATGTTAGAACGCATCCATCGCAATGTTGTTAAATTCTACACCAAGTAGTATCCTTTTGGGGTAATCGAGAATTTACGCAGGAAATCATGCGACTGTGCGAGCTCCGCATATTAACACCTATAAACTGTAAAATTTTAGCATTTTCTGAGATGGCTATTTAGCTCGTTAAGTAGATCTCCTTCAAGAGATAACTCAACATTTGAATTCTTGCATTCTGTCTCTCCAACTTAAGAGAGAAACTTTAAAAAGTATCTAAAAGCCTGATAAATATTCTACGACAATAACTCTGAGAAAACTATGGCAAACAACAAATTCGCAATTGTGGTAATGGAAAACAAAGCTTAAAAATGCCAAAGACCATAGATATGTCGTCATTTTTTAAAAGCTAGTGAATAGGTTTGGAAAGAGAAAGCACCACTGCAAGACGACGCTGCTGATTGTGTCGAGCAGACAAAGGGGATGGCAATTCGTTGACAGCCTATGTCTTTGCTTGTTACAGCAGTCTCAGTCAGCCTCTCATGATCTTACCAGTCGCCACTAGGAGAATATGTTATTTTGATTAACATGCCCTAATCTGTCAATGTTGCCCTAAGAATGGTCTCAAGCATGTAAGGGTGTTGATTCATAAGAAATTGGGCCTAACTTTAGTCAAATGTTACTGAGAAAGCCTAATTTGAAGCCAAGCAATTTTGATCGTGCTCAATCCTTCCAGATCCCATAACCTTGCTCTTGATTCTTGTCAATTCCAACTAACATATAATTCTGAAGCTACTAGGCTTTTTCATGGCTAGTTGAATGTAGGATTGGACAGCCTTACAATGAGATCTGTAATTTTGGCTAACATGATAGCCCATGAGAACCTTTTAGTCAGTTATACGCATTCTTACTTGACTATATCAGTGAGTGAACTTGATCTTTCCCTCGGTGATTCTTTCACTTATGGTACTGTTACTTTACTATCAGGCTGGCAATATCAGCAATCTCCACCCACCATACAATGTATCATGGAAAAAGCTTTGACTCAAATCACAAAGGTGGAAAGGGAGGATCTCCATCTGGTTGGTGCAGGCAGAACAGATGCAGGAGTTCATGCCTGGGGTCAGGTCAGGCATTCTTGTGTTAATGAAGTTTAAACACGATCCACCCATCAAAGTTCAAGGACAAACTTTCTGGCAATTGATTTTTCAGGTAGCACACTTTGTTACACCTTTTAATTATGACAGCTTGGATACCCTCCATGCTGCTCTTAATGGTCTTCTTCCATCTGATATCCGTGTAAGAGAGATTAGCCCTGCAGTCCCTGAATTTCATGCCAGATTTTCCGTGAGAAGCAAGATTTATCACTACAAAATATACGATGATACTGTCATGGACCCGTTTCAGCGGTATTATGCTTATCACAGTGCTTACAGGCTAAACCCAGAAGCGATGAAAGAAGCTGCTAAATATTTTATTGGAAGACATGATTTTTCTGCTTTTGCAAATGCATCACACAATGACCGAGCACCAAATCCTGTAAAAAATATATTCAGTTTTGATGTCATTGAAAAGGTAATATATAGTTATCTCATTTAGATTTCTGCTGAGCCGGTTGGGTATCAATTATCCGAGAAAGCATTTGTATCTCTTTACAGCAGTTTTGTGCCCCGTTATCATTTCTTTTACCTTTTCATTTTTCAGGATAGTTATTAATCTGTGAATATTTTGTTAGGGAGCTCTTTTACAGATAGAGGTTGAAGGTACTGGATTTATGTATAGACAAGTGCGAAACATGGTAAATGAAAGTGCTCCCTATTCCAGATTTAAATATTTTGTTCTAGTACATTCGCCATATAGCTGAATCTGTGAAACGGTTCAATAGAATTGAAGGACAATGACCATAAGTTCAGCAATTTATACAAATAAAGAGTAGCTAAAATTAGCTTTGTTCATGGAGGTTGGGATGTGCATTTCTGAGTCCTTATTATTGATTGCATGTGAAGGTCGCTCTGCTTATACAAATTGGAAGGGAAGCAATACCTCCTGGTATCGTTCCCATGATTTTAGCATCTCGGGACCGGAAGGAGTTAGCCAAATATTCGTTGTCTGCCCCACCTCATGGGCTCTGTCTTGTAGCTGTCAACTACATCGAACAGCATATGCAGCTTCCATCAGGTTGCCCTCCTAAGAGTTTGGGAAGGAGTCGTACCGTGAGCAGGTGCAAGCTTCCGTGCTACTAGAGGAGCCAGATTTTTTGTTCGATTGCTGGTTTAATCGGTGACAAGCAGACGGTGATTCGTGCGTCAAAATGAAAATTTGAGGTCTTGTCAGTTTGATGCCAGATGTTGACGATTGAAAGATGATCTCCTGTAGGTCTTTGGATATGGCCTTGGGGATGCTTGATTACGTACAGGTTTGACAGTTATCATTCCGACCGCCAAGTTCCGAAGTTGTGACCGTTTGCTAGGATTAACTTTGCTTCACATTCAAGTTCCTCAATCATTGCTACTGGGGATTCTGAAAGCAAACAATGTCGAGCGATGACTTCTGATTTATTCTAGAATTCTGTTCATGTAATTGAGAGAAAGAGGGAGAGAGAGAGAGTTTGATATTGTATCTGTACAAGAATGCCATCCTATTATGTATCAGAACAGAGATATTCAGTTCATCAATATCATTGTGCATGGTGGAGGAGGAATGTGGTTCTTTTTTTCATTTACCAAGATATGGAATTTCTATAGGCTTCATTGCATCCGTTGAGATTTATCTTGGACTTGCCACTCGACTGTGATTACATGATATTAGGATTTTCTACTTTGTCAAAGATTGAAATCGGTTCTGCACAGGTGTGAAGAAAGTGGCCAGGGACGTCAGTATCGTGGCGGTGGTTATAAATAGGCGTTGTTGGCGATCTGCAAATGTGAGGCCACTCATTTCCTCCACAAAAGCCCTTGTTTCGAGTCCTGACAGAGAAGGTAAAAGGTGGTGGAGCGAGAGTTCAAGCAATTACAGTTTCTGAAGTTTGACAATAAATTCGTTTTTTCACATTAGGAAAGAGCAAATTAGCTTTTGACCAAGATTGAGGCACTTGTGAGGCATTCTCTTCCCCTGGCCATGAGCCTGATATGAATCATTCTTATATTCAGCTATAAGATCAACCTCGAGCTGACAATGGATATCTCCGAGCAAATGCTTCTAGGTTGGACTCAGCATCATCATGTTCATTTCATGTTGCAGAAAATCACCATGAATGAAACAGGAGCTATCCCATAAGTGCTACAACCATCTAATGCAAGAGGAAAAGCAATCACTATAGTTAGGTCTCAAAAAACCGAAGTTCCACCATGAACTCCTGTTGCTTCGGAGCGTACCAAGCAACAGCCTTGGCAGAACCAAGAACCTGTAGAGCGTATTCAATGGCAAACACCGAATCATCAACACGTACAGGTCGGTCCCGGTCCTTCAAGTCAACTGAGACCCTCGAATCAACTCTGACACTGAAAGGTCCACCAATCTAGGAAAAGCAAGTAGAAGGTGTCAAAAACAATATAAAGTTACTAAGTGTGGTTTCAAAAACGGTCGAGATTGTTATTAGTTGATTTCTTCAGGATTGTAATAACAAACTTCCCACAAACATTTACAAATAGAAGGTGTCAAAAGCAATGTAAAGTTGCAAAGGGTGGTTGTAATAGGTGACAGCTTTCTCATTAAGCGGTCGAGACTGTGCTTAGGTTGTATACTTCAAGATTGTGATACCAAGGTTCCTCCAAACATTTTCCTTGAACTATCTTAAGCTAACTCATTGGAAAGAACTAATTGCGACCAAGAACATTTAAATACCTTTTTTTTTATCCAGAACCAGGACTAGATCTAATGGACCCCTCCGCCCAAGTATTCACTCTCATATAAGAGGAGTTATCTCTTGTACAGACTTTTGCCCCCCTTCAATACACATTTAAGACTTCACACAGCACATCTAAAAATAAATTCACTCCTAACTAAATGAACAAGTCAAGAATTTTGTAAAAATAAGCCCCTCCTCTACGCCGCTGACAAAGTGTCCAAACACAAAGTGTCTGTTTTCCCAAGCAGAAGATGACAGACGACGAGAAAAAGGTATGGGAAAGAAGATGACAAAAGTATTGGAAGTACAAAAAAATCTTCATGGTCAATTTCAGCTATCTTGCATACTAATGGCTAAATAGTTCATAAAAGGAATGCATGTACCTGCTGCTGAAGAGAAAGGGTTGCATTAGGACAAATTGCCTGGAGTGTCTCTAGGTTTGGCCTTTGAGAATTTAGAAGATCTTGAGCTAAAAGCACAGCACCAGTTAGAAACTTGGAACCAGAAGGAAAGTCTAGGCAGGCGTGGAAACGGGTAAGATCTAAGAAAAGCCTCTGGAAGTTGCCGAGCTGAGCAGTAAATGCAACAGCTGCAAAAACATCGCCTCTGAGGGCGGATTTAATTGCAGGAGCATTAAAGCAGATTCCCGTATTATTCTGTGATATATCTGCTACATGTGACTTTACCGCATTATCCCCGAAGGAGGCTGTCGCGGCAGCACCTGTTAGAATACAAAACCAAGTCTTAAGAAATAGAATACAACTTCAATCAACAAACAAAGAAGATAACCTGATCATAAAAAGATAGAAGATATAACTCCAAAACGCTAATTTGGTCCCAAATCTAACATATGGCATGACTATACTCCACATATAACTTGCCCTTATTGGATGAATAATATGGAGAACGGACGTAAGATAAACAGAACTACCTCAACTTAACATGCCACAAATATCTGACCCAAGGCCTGACAGAAGTTGGATGAAAATGGTTTTTGAACTGCATGTGAAGTACAAGGACTTCGGTTGGGTAAAAAAAAAACTATGGAGGGGTCACCTTGCGAATGACCCAAAGAAAAATGCTTGTGCAACGTCACCTTGCAAATGATTTGAAAAATATGGCAAATGCCAACATTTTTTTCTGAAGAACATAAACATCACTAATTCATACAATTCTTTAAAGAAAAAAAGTGCACTCCACACCAACTTGATATTGCAGGTAATCAATCTCACTCACTCCTCTTTTGCAAAGGGGAAAGATCAAACTGACAGAACATAAAGAAAGGACAGATGATCAGATAAGTCTGATTTAACAGGCTAAAGACAGTATCTCACCAACAATTCCTGATGCAGTAACGTGGGGATTTGAGAGGAACACATCATATGGTTGCACTAGCTTCAACTTTGGGGCTTTACTTCTCCATAAATCAATGTTCTTCTTGAAAGAATAGGCACCTTTAAGGGCCGTTCCAGGAAGAAGTGTAGCAGGTACTTCGCGAGTAGGTATTATTTCATTATTTTCACAGTGCCTCAATGAGCCCGAGTTATGGTGCATCGATAGATGATAACTGGAACCAGAGTCAGAAGCAATAGATGCGAGATCACAAGCAATTGAAAGCGGGACATCCCAGTAAGTACCATCCTTACTAACAAAAAGTCCTGGGGAGAATGCCTCTACCAGCAAATTGTGATGTGGAAACTGCAAACAAAATGTACTACCACCTCAGATTGCCTTGTATTTAAAGTATATTACGCATTCCACAATAATTTTGGCACTTCCCATAACCTTAAAATATGAAATGATCTACTACTCACAAGTCAAGAAAATATAATTTCCATTTATAATAGAGAGTTCTATTTGACAACTAAAATCTCTAAATAAATGACTAAGTTGCTCATTAAACTTGCCTTGTGATGAAAAACTGCCTTCCTGCGAGGCGTCCTCTCGTCACCATACTCTTCTAAGCTAACAAGCAGTGTATCTTCAGGTGTTAACAGCATCTCTGAGCAAAAATTCAACGCGTACAAAGATTTATCCCGTAGATGCCTCCCAATGCCTCGCCACCAAGTGGAGTCCTGCTCTTGCAATAGCCCCTTTTCTTTAACAGACGATACAAACTTCTGAAGATTGAACTGACCTAATAAAGTAGCAAACCTGCATAGCTTTAAGTTCCGAAACATCAGTCAACACAAACATCTGACCGCCGAAATCATCACCAAGCAACAAGACGCCATCAAGATTGACACAAGAAGCACAGGTGATACCTTGCAAGTAAATTACATGAAATTGGTGGCATGCAATTAGATTACATATTGACCTGTTCGGACGCTAGAATCTTTCTCCTCTTCTGATTTGTGAAAAACCTAAAATGACCATATCCTTACTATCGCATCCAAAACATCAGTGGATCAGGTTAGGGGGACGGAGGAAATGATTTATGCGTGGTTCAGGCGTGTAGCAGAATATTTGAAGGACCCAAAATTTAATCACCTAAAGGGACCTAATTGTCATAGAAAAAGGGACTACTTGAAATTGGTACCTGGCATAAAAAAAGAACCACTTGGAAACTAACATCCGTTTGCAAAAACTAGTTAAAACTTCGAATCATGGAACCTATGATCCCATCACAAATGCAGCTCAACTCACTACATAATCCAATCAAACATGAAGCTACAAAAGTAACCACGGATTCCCAGTAGCAATTCCTGAAAAGAAGCTCACTTTCACCACAAGCACTACCCAAATATGCCCACGGAAAACGAGGCGACAACAAACGACCACAATCTTTGCTCCATTTCATTACCAATTGAAACAGGATAAGACGCATATCATCAGCAAGAAAGAAAGAAAATATTACCAGTTCTCCCCAAAGGGAATGGTGAGAACCCTCTGGAGAGAGAGCCCGGACCCGCCGCGACCCGGGTCGCCGGCGAAAGAGGGGATGAAGGGGGCGGTCATGAAACGCTGCATGAAGTCGATCTGCTTGGGCCGGGAGAGCCGGGTCCCCCTGGATAGGCCCAGGGGGAGCGGGTTCCCGGGCACGGGTCGGGCCAGCCCGTCGAGGGTGGCGGGCGTGGAGACGTCGAGGTCCCAGAAGCCGCCGTCCGTGGCCCACCGGAGCTTCTTCACGGCCGTCGTCATCGCCGCGATGGGGGGGGGGGGGGGTGTGGATCCTTATCTTCTTCCGGCTCTTGAGGAGGTTGGTGAAGGAGAAGAAGAAGAAGAAGAAGAAGAAGAAGGCGAGGAGGAAGAAGTGTGGGTGAGGGGAGCGCTCGTACGCGCACTCACACTCTCACAGGGAAAAGGGGCATCTTGGTCCTTCCTTCCTCGTCTCGCTGCCATTTGAATTTGGTTTGCGGTAAATGGATTCTTGAAACCGAACCCAAGAAGAACAAGAAGAGCAAAGTTTCTTACAGTGCAACTTTGTTATTAAGGTTTTGGCAAAGTTTTTCAGACACCCTCTGCACAGTACGTGAATAGCACCAAACGTATCGTGTGCAGATTAACATGATCTTTTTGTCAAAAACGAACCCGTTTGGCTAATCTTCAGATTTATTTATACGCATCTAAACACAATTTTATGCTGGAGCCCATGTAAAAAATGCGTGGAAGTATCATTTCGTACGATCTTTTACATGAGAACATCCTATTTAGATATCAAAGTTCTAATACGACTGATAACACACTCGATACTTATGATGGACCTAATTCGATACAACACGGTTGTGACACGAGGCACGAATCTCCACCGACCAGTGACGTATGGTAAATATGATTGTACGGTCTAGAGGCAACCGACCAGTGCTTCGGGATGCCCGCGACATCCGCTCCGGCTTACCTTGAACTAGACGCCGGCGCAAACTTCTGTAGGCGATTTTTCTTACGGCGGATGAGCATGGACAGCAGTAGGATTTTACTTGGATTCTGTCGAGGTTTTAGGTCCCTAATGACCTTTTGAACACTTCTACTGTTAACCCCTGTAAATTGGAGTCTGTACCCTTTTTGACCCACATGTTTATAGGGGTTTCGATGTAAATGTACACTTTTGAATCAGTACTTAGTACGAAAGGAGGGGCTCCCACTCTTGCCGCCGACACTTGCAAGCAAAAGGAAATAAGCAAAACGTTTATCAGACGACTACACATTTTTCACCCATTAACATGTTATTTTTTTTGTCAAAACAACACGTTTGGTTAATCTTTAGACTAATTTACACGCATCTAAGCACAATTTTATATGATCATACACGGACTTCATAATATAAATGTGTTAGACGTATTGTCTCGTATAATCTTTTGAAAAAAAAAAACGTCGTATTTGGATATTAAAGTTTCGATACAACTAATAAACATGTGGTACTTAGGATGGATTTAACTTGATACAATATAGTTGCGACACAAGGCACGGATCGCGCCCCCCGCCCCCCCATGAAATATTTTAAATATGACTGTAGAGCCTAGAGGCGATCGACCATTGTGTCGGAGTACTCGCAATATCCGCTCAAGATTCCGTCGAGGTTTTGAGGCGCCTAATGACCTTTCGAGCACTTTTACTGTAGCCTCTGCAATTGTCTGTAACCTTTTACCCACTTGTTTTCCCAAGTGTTTCGATATAGATGTACACTTTTGAATCGGTGCTCAGTACGAGAGGAGTCGTACTGCCGACACTTAGAAGGACATAAGCAAATATGAGCACTTTTCGAGCTCCTTTGTGTGATTTCAATTTTTCGCGATCTCCTAAGTTTTCTTCGCATTTTAGATTCATGTGAATTCGTGCCTACGACGCTCCGGTCTAACTGCGAAGGTCCCATATGCAGTCGCACCCGTGTCGGATTCCGAGACACTCGGGTCAACACCCAGAGTTAACGTTTGATCTCGGTGACGAGCTCGCCCTGTGAGCAGTATGTGAAAGTGCATGTCGAGCTACTTGCTCGACTTTCCCATTCATGCAAAAGATGGGTAAACCATTTGAAATTGATGGAAGAAATTTTCGCTATGGCAGATGGCTCGAGTGTAAGTGGTGGTGAACTGGTAATGAGAATCGAGATTTTACTTGTATGACTTCTCGGCCAATTAGGATTTGAGTAATCTTCAAATTTCAGGTCATCCGTTCAATTCATATCGGCGACTTTCGACTATGGAGAAGAACCTCGTTTGATTATGGCCAAAGCATGCTTAATTTCGTGATTACGACCCCAATCTAGCAGTAAACGTCATTGACAGTGAGATTAGGATTTTATAATGCCCATTTCAAAAGATCTATAACTCAATTGATAAAAATAATATGTATAGGACTCAATCAACTAATGGTCCACACCGTTTAGGACTCTTGTTACATTTTTTTTTTTTTTTAAATTTGAACTATGGAGCACGACCTATGCAAAAAGGGAATTTGCGTAGAAATCCTAAACCCTGTGTATGTTAGGTCATAAAATCTTCAATTAAATCCCTATTCCTTTTTGTCAAAGAAGCAATCAAGTCATTCCGAATCAAACTCCCTCCATTTTACCTTGGTGGCACTGTCTTAGGTAGCCACACAAGCTTTCGAAAGTCCGTGATTTGATTGCACCAATTAAAAAGATCGAGGACTGAATTCTGTACAAGATTAATGACTACTAGTGCACTTTGCTAATGCAAAAAATGTCACTTCAATGCTGGAAGCAGAACAAGAAGCCTGGCCGGGACGAGGCAGTGGGCATAGGAGCTGCAAGGACACATGATGCAACAGACAAATGTAGAAGAGAGGCCGTCTTTTGGCCTCTTACTTAGTATCAGATTCCTTCTTCACCTAATCGATTTTATATATTTTGACATACGACAACATGCAGATAGTGATAAACTTTTGAAGTTTAGTCTCACCATCGAATCTGCATAAAATCAACTTAGTTTGATCCTATGGAACGAGACAAGGTTAGTACCTATTCTTCTTCCTTTGACCGAAGGAAGGAGAATCTTGATTTTAAAAGAGGGCATGGCTATCACTTTGTGGGGCTGATGATGATCACAGATCACTTTGTTTATTCCAATCTACGATGTTTGTTCCAACATGAGTCCAAATGTTTGAATTTTTTAACAGTACAAGAGTCTCTCTCAGAATGGAGTAGGTAGCATATGATCTGCATCAACCAATAAATATCTCCCGGTCTCAGATTGTTTCGAGTATGAAATGTTCATGGTTGTAGAGTTAGCTATTATCATATGACCCAGCGAGACGTAAATGATAATGATGTGTTCGTTGGCAAGTGGTTGTCACGCCACTTCACAAGGTTGAATTTTAGCAGAGAAAAAAGTAATGCCATCTCTTTGGCTCAAGAAGTTTGCCAAAAAATTCATCTAGTACTGGCTCGAGATTTATCGATGTGATTTGGAGGATCTATGTCGTCGAGATACTTTGATTTCTGAGCGTAATCATCTCAATTATAAGTCTGGACCACCCTCTCGGATAACCAAGAAAATGAAAGAACAATTTAAAAAATAAACTGCATTATCACTGTGATAGCTTCACAATGTCTCTCTGCTGAAGTTCAACCGTCCACTATAAAGTTCACATCACGCTGTTGATAGCATCACATGATGCTCTGGTGAGTCTAGTTTTGTTGCATTGCTGAAGTAGTTTCTCTCTCTCTGTCACTATAAGTTTCCGTGAAGCAAGAGCCGAGTACGCTGATACTCTCTGTAGCAGAAATGCACACTATGGACATCCTTGTTAAACTTCTAGAGATCCTTTTCCTCGAGTTCGGTCGATCTTGAATTTCTGAATCTCTTTGTTCTCTGATACATACACTCTAAACTTTCGATCAGGCATTACTGATTGTCTTAGTGTCAGTCCTGATCTAAGTGCATGATTTCCTCTGTTTTCTTGTATCAAACCACATTTTGTGCCTACAAGCAGTTTATTAGTGGTGACCAAATATACCTCAATCCTTCTAAAGTTTCGACCCTCTTCCTTGGTTACTGATTTGGCACCATCGTGCTTCTGAGAAGAGTTCACTTCCGCAGATTTCAAGGTAAACCCAGTTTTGTATTAAGGCATGAACCACCCTGGTAGCTTTTCATACAAGTTCTCATGCAAACAGCTGATTTTCTTGTTACTGAAAGAGATCAACACCTTCTTGTCCATCAGTTGTGGCCAATATGGCTGAGGAAAGCAGCATGGATTCTGAAGCGAAGATCCCACAGGCTGCTGTGCCAACAAGCTATGCACTAGAGGTGATTTCAGAGGGAGTGCCACCGCAGCAAAACGGCAGTCTGGAAGATGCCAAAAGGCGCGCCAGGAAACAGGAACGTGCCTTGACAGTGCCATATCACAAGCTTTTCTCATTCGCGGATTCCACCGATTACCTATTAATGTCAGTTGGGACAATCAGCTCCGCTGGAAATGGGGTCACTATGCCTCTCATGACACTACTCTTTGGATGGCTCGTCGATTCTTTTGGAAAAAGTGCGAACCACAAACTCGTATTGCATGGTGTTTCCGAGGTACTCTATTGTAGGGTTTGTACTTATGGAGCGAATTCTTTCCCTCGGTGTCTGGATTGTAAAGCTCAATGTTGTGATGAATTGCAATTTTTCCTTGGCGTCTAGTTTATCTATGTAAAGTTTAGTTGGAGGTTCATTTTGAAGAAACTGTTATAATGCATTTCGTTTTACCAAGAAAAGCTCTCATTGTTTTCTCGTGTTAACGTTTTGCTATAGCTCAGTGATCTTGATGAGATTGACTTAAGGTCTAAATTCTCAGGTGTGTCTGAAGTTCATTTACTTGGCTCTGGGGTCGGGTGTGGCATCTTTTTTGCGTAAGTGCATTGGGCTGCTTGCATCAGTGAACCTTAACAAATGCTTTTTTAAGAATTATATGATGCTTAACTGCACGAGCCTTCGCTTTTTCTTGTCATTGTTAGAATTTGCCTGCTGGATGGTAACTGGAGAGAGACAGGCTGCACGGATACGAAGCTTATACCTTAAAACCATTTTGAGGCAAGACATTGGCTTCTTCGATGAAGAAATTAACACCGGCGAAATAATCGGACGGATGTCTGGCGACACCATTCTGATTCAAGATGCCATGGGTGAGAAGGTAATTATGTAGCAGAACAAGTCAAACATCGTCGGCTTGTTCTTGTTCTCCCTTTCCTTGGCAAATTCACCTATAAATGCCTTGAACAGTCTGGTTTTGGAATTGACAGTGTCCCCTTAATTCTTGATGCACTTTGCTTCAGGTTGGAAAGTTTATACAGCTGATCGCGACATTCATAGCAGGTTTTGTCATAGCTTTTGCCAAGGGATGGCTACTTACCGTAGTCATGTTGTCTTCAATCCCACCCCTCGTCATCTCTGGTGCGATTATGACCATCATCATATCTAAACTGGCTGCAAGTGGACAAGCAGCTTATTCAGTTGCAGCAACCGTGGTAGAACAGACAATCGGGTCGATAAGAACTGTAAGTCAAATCGTGTAGGGTAGGACTATCCTTCTTTTCGATTTGCTTGCTATGACTATAATTGATTTATGTCCCAATATGGCAATACCTCTACAGGTTGCATCATTTACTGGAGAGAAGCTCGCTATAGCCAGATATAACAAATCACTGACTAAGGCTTATAAGTCGGGTGTGCAAGAGGGTTTAGCCACGGGGTTTGGTTTTGGGGTGGCTACGTTCATAATGCTTTGCACATACGCCTTGGCTCTCTGGTTTGGGGCGAAAATGGTACTCGAGAAAGGATACTCGGGAGGAGCTGTCTTGAACATCGTTTTTGCAGTGCTGACCGGGTCCCTGTATGCAATTGCTTCTTTTCCCTGGAATATTGAATGTGATTCGGCAAATTGTTCATCCCAGATAGATTGATTTGTTTAGGCTTTACTTCTCAGGTCTTTGGGTCAGGCATCTCCATACCTCAGTGCATTTGCCGCCGGACAAGCTGCTGCATTTCGGATGTTTGAAGCTATCGAAAGAAAGCCGCCGATAGATTCATATGACACCAACGGAAGTATGTTGGAAGATATCCGGGGGGACATCGAGTTGAGGGACGTGTACTTTAGTTACCCCGCGAGGCTTGAGGAACAAGTATTGAACGGGTTTTCTATCTCAATAGCATACGGTACTAATGCAGCATTTGTTGGGGAAAGCGGGAGCGGAAAATCGACGGTCATAAGTTTGATCGAGAGGTTTTACGACCCTCAAGCCGGTGAAGTGCTCATTGATGGGATCAATCTGAAAGAGTTCCAGTTGAAATGGATTAGGCAGAAGATTGGCCTTGTGAGCCAAGAGCCTGTATTGTTCACTTCAAGCATTCGAGACAACATTTCTTATGGAAAGGACGGCGCGACCGATGAAGAAATTTGGGCTTCTGCCAAACTTGCCAACGCTGCTAAATTCATCGAGAAACTACCCCAGGTTCATGGCTCATTTTCTTTGATTAGGATGATTTGCTTCTCCTACTTCTTCTCACAAGATGGCACTAGTCTGTTAAACCTTGACATTTCAAGCTCTTGCTGTTCAGGGGCTAGATACAATGGCTGGTGAGCACGGAACTCAACTATCCGGGGGTCAAAAGCAGAGAATTGCAATCGCCAGAGCGATTCTCAAAGACCCGAGAATTTTACTCCTCGATGAAGCCACGAGCGCCCTCGATGCAGAATCTGAGAGGATCGTGCAAGAGGCCCTGGACAGGATCATGGTCAACAGAACAACCATCATTGTGGCTCATCGCTTAAGTACAGTGAGGAATGCCAATGTGATTGCCGTGATTCGTCGAGGAAGGATCGTTGAGAAGGGTTAGAGTTTCTGATCATTTTAAAGTCTTATGAATTATATCTTACCTGAGACGTCTGAAAACATTACTTCTAGCATAACCATTTCAATCATCAAAGCCTTGATATGCTGCTATCCAAGTATTAACCACCTATTCAGGACTGCATTGTAACTATTTTTTTAATGGTCAGGTCCACATTCCGAGCTTATCAAGGAACCTGATGGAGCGTATTCACAGCTTATACGGTTACAAGAAGTCAACAACGGACAATGTCCACCGCCCGATCAAGACAGGTCAGAACTAATAGTGAACTCGGGAAGACATTCGAGCCGGCGCATATCCTTCATCCGATCCATGAGTCAGGGGTCATCTGGCATTGAAAACAGTTCCCGCCACTCATTTTCTGTGTTTGGCGTGCCAACCGGGATAGGCCCTGAGGACACAGTGCCAGCTGATTCCAGCTCTCCTCCTTCAGAAGCACTTCCAGACGTTCCATTGTATCGCCTGGCTCAGCTGAACAAGCCGGAGATTCCTGTCTTACTTCTAGGCACTATAGCCGCCATAGCCGCTGGGTTGATAATGCCAATTTTCGGGGTTTTGCTGTCATACATAATCAAAACCTTCTATGAGCCGCCTCATAAACTCCGTGAAGATTCGCAGTTTTGGGCATTGATGTTTGTCGTTCTTGCACTTGTGTCTCTGCTGGTGCAACCATTGAAGTCCTACTTCTTTGCGGTCGCCGGCAGTAAATTGATTCAGCGGGTCCGATCCATGTGCTTCGAGAAAGTGGTTTACATGGAAATAAGTTGGTTTGACAGAGGCGAAAACTCTAGCGGTGCAATAGGCGCGAGACTTTCTTCAGATGCTGCTTCTTTCCGCGGTTTAGTGGGAGATGCTCTGAGTTTGCTCGTTCAGAACATTGCCACGACCATTGCTGGCTTAGCTATTGCTTTCGAGGCGAACTGGCAACTGGCCCTTGTAGTCCTCGCATCGCTGCCCGTGATGGTGGCAAATGGTTTTGTCCAAGCGAAGTTCCTGCAAGGATTTAGCGCTGATGCAAAGGTTTGACCAATCGTCCCTACTTTATACAACTTGTACATGATCTGAGACCCGTTTTGCGACTACCTACAAAACGTTTTAATTGGTCCCTTGTAGTAAATAACAAAATCGAAATTGGTTACAGAAACTGTACGAGGAAGCGAGTGAAGTTGTGGCTGATGCGGTGGGAAGCATTAGGACAGTGGCTTCATTCTGTGCAGAAGATAGGGTGATGGAGCTGTACAAACAGAAATGTCGTGGCCCGATTAGAACAGGAATAAAGCAGGGCCTGATAAGCGGGATCGGGTTCGGGACATCATTCTTCTTGTTGTATTCTGTGTATGCCGTCAGTTTCTATGCCGGAGCACGACTTGTTGAAGATGGAAAGACAACACCAGCCGCCGTTTTTCGTGTACTCCGTCCTCTCCCTAAGATCACTCCGATTACCTACATGATTTGACAGTTGAGGCCATAACTAGGTCCATGCTAATGTGGATATTCTTGTACCAGGTTTTCCTCGCTCTTCTTACGTCGGCGTGGTCGGTGTCTCAATCCACTTCCCTCGTCCCCGATTCTAGTAAAGCGAAGAGTTCTGCAGCTTCCGTATTTGCCATCCTCGACCAAGAACCGAAAATCGATGCGAGCAGCAATTCCGGAACATCACTCGAAAATGTCAAGGGAGAGATTCACTTCGAACACGTCAGCTTCAGATATCCCGCTAGACCCGACATGGAAATATTCCGAGATCTTTGCTTGGCAATCAAATCGGGAAAGGTATGACACATTTTAGGCTTCGAAGTGCTCCCACGTGATTATGTTAACAGCTCTATAGTGTAGCATCTAACAAGGAATACACCGAACATGCTAACGTCAGACAGTTGCGCTGGTCGGGGAAAGCGGCAGCGGGAAGTCCACTGTGATCTCACTGTTGCAGAGATTCTACAGTCCAGATTCAGGACACATCACATTGGACGGGACAGACATAAGGAAACTGCAGCTGAAGTGGCTGAGACAGCAGATGGGCCTGGTGAGCCAGGAGCCTGCGCTGTTCAACGACACGATCCGAGCAAACATTGCCTATGGAAAAGAAGGAAACGCGACTGAAGCGGAGATTGTCGCTGCAGCTGAAACCGCAAATGCTCACAATTTCATCAGCAGCCTACAAAATGTAAGACTCCTATTGCCATTCATGTCTTGAGCGTGTACCTGTCTAGGACTAAAAGTTACTTGTGAAAAAGGAATCATATTTTCTTTTCCAATCCACCAGAAGAGTCCGAAAATTGACAAGATCACATATTTCTATTGGGTGATGAATAACTAGGCGATCTTAGGTCGGCCGCGTCGTGAAGTCGTTCTGTGATTGACTTGTAGAACGATTTTCCCCAATGAAACATTAATAGAATTGCTTCCAACAGTGTGGGAACGGAACTATCAGTCCAAATGAGTAATGGTAAATCACTGAAATAGAGTTTATGCCCTGCAGGGTTATGATACAATGGTCGGCGAGCGTGGTGTGCAGCTCTCAGGCGGACAGAAGCAACGGGTGGCGATCGCGAGGGCCATAGTGAAGGCCCCGAAGATCCTGCTCCTCGACGAGGCCACGAGCGCCCTCGATGCCGAGTCCGAGCGGGTCGTGCAGGATGCGCTGGACAGGGCCGTGGCGAACCGGACCACGGTGGTGGTGGCGCACCGGCTGTCCACGATCAAAGGGGCGGACCTGATAGCGGTGGTGAAGAACGGGGTGATTGCGGAGAAAGGGAAGCATGAGACCTTGATCAACATTGAGGATGGTATCTATGCTTCCCTGGTGGCCATGCATTCCGGCACATCATCCTAGTGAAACTTATGTAAATTTTGGTCGAAGTGTTTGTCTGTTTTCTGGGGGTTAGTTCCTAAATATGGTTTTGGTACGATTGTATATGTACTTAAGAGGGTCTACCTCTTTCTTGATTGAGAAGCCTGGACTGAACAATAATGGACACTTTAAAAATTTTCGATGAATGATCGATATTTATTCTTTTCGAGTCTGATTGGTTTAGCATTTGAAAGCTGCTTTGGGGGTCTAGTCTCTTAAGCAAATGCAAAGTTGTTTGGCAAGCTTTGAGGATATGCAATTGCATCTCCAAAGCTTTCCAAGTACCTTTGGCTGCTGACCAAAAAAAAAAAAAAAGTACCTTTGGCTGAATGAAGCTCATAAGGAGCTTTGGCAAGTTGTATTTTCGAAATGCAATCGGGCACTATTCATCGTCACTGTTCATTCTCTTCTCGAGCCGCTGGTCTGGCAGCCGGCGACCGCCGCCTGGGGATCGCGCGACCCTAGGCGGCGATCGCCAGGGTCGCGCGACCTCAGGCGGCGGTCGCCGGGGTGCTAGCCCTCAGGTGGCGGTTGTCGGCCGCCAGACCAGCTGCTCGGGAAGAGGATGAACAGTGACGATGAATAGTACCCGATTGCATTTCGAAAATGCAACTTGCCAAGGCTCCGCCGCCTAGGGGTCGCACGACCCCGGGCGGCAGTCGCCTGAGGTCGCGCGACCTTAGGCCGCCTCGCTTGAGGTCAGGCGAGGCTAGTCGACGACCAGATCTGGTCGTCGACGATTGGCCGGCTAACAGATTTGGCCGGCGGTGGTGGTCGGTGGCCAGCTTCTTTTTTTTTTTTTTAAATATCAGCAAAAGTCTTTTACAAATAATTCTTACCAAACAGTATTTAGGCCAAAGTTGCTTTCAAATGTAATTTTAAAATACACATTACCAAATACTACTTGCATTTCGAAAAACCTTTTTAGCTCAAACGTCTTTGTATTTTGCCAAATGCATTTCCCAAAAAGCTAAACCAAACATGCCCGTAATCGGTTCTCGAGAGTTGGCAGTCGTTTTTTCTTTGAAAAATCCGATTGATTATACGAGAAAGTTATCCATTGAGGATATCTTGATAGTTCGTATGAACAAAAATTTCACCAGAAACTCGTAAATATTATGTACCTAACACGATGTGATCGTAAATTCATTTAATTAGCGTTATCAAATTCAAATTTTTTGTCCTATTGCGCTTGTCCATCAAGATTGCACTTTAACCTAATGTTTAATATGATCCCTTAACTTTTAATTTATTCAATATGGTCCCTGAATTTTTTGTACATGTTTAATATAGTCCTTGATCTAATGAAAATGTTCAATGTAGTCTTTCCATCAATTTAAGTTCAGAAACCACATTTTCCATCAATTCAAGTTTAGGTACTACATTGAATAATTTTACATAATTTCAAGGACTAAATTGAACATTGACCAAAAGTTCATAGATGACATTGAACAAATTAAAAGTTTTGAGACTATATTACACATTGAATTAAAGTTTCGGGACCACATTACATATTATACCAAAGTTCAAGGACTGTGTATCAGGAGTGAGCAAGATGAACTGTCCAAACCAGGACCGGACCGAACCTACCGGTTGGATCCGATTCTCAAGAATATCGGTCCGGTTCCCGGTTCCTTAAAGTGGAACCGGTTTCCGGGCAGTCCGGTTCTCGGTTCTAGGGTGGGAACCGGATCGGACCGAATCGATAAATATATATTTTTCTATTTTTTTCATATAAATATATATTAAATATTATATATATGAAAAATATTTAATATTGGTCCCATTGGAACCGATTGTTCAATTTTTTCATATATTATATATATTTCCAATTTTTTCCATGGCCTTATTAAATCAAAACTACAAAGAAAAGAACGGAACAATTGGTTCTCGATTCACAAATAATATTTAATATTGATTTTATTGGAACTGGACCGGATCATCGAATCGGCCCATGATCCTAAGACTAGCCGGTCCGGTCCCCGGTCCTAAAAATTGGAAATCGATCCTCCCGATTCAATTTCTGGCTCATGAGTTGGATCGAACCGGACCGGGAACTTCGAACCCTTACTGTGTATCATCTTCCCAAGTAAGTTTTACTAATCAGAAAGGTATCATCTTTCCCTCGCTGCAAATTCGATAGGAAGCTGAAATGAGTTCACTCGCTCGATCACTCGGGCGAGCCGCTTCGTCGCCGTCGTCCGGCGCCGCCGTACCGACACTGCGGCGCCTCTGCTCCTCGTCTTCTTTCGACCGTCACTGGACCGCCTCGCCCGCCGTGGCATGGAAGTCCACCGCCACCCCCGCGGCCGAGTCCGCCGATAGGGCATCCGGAGACGGCGGTTCCGGTCCTTCCGCCGCCACCGCCGTCGATTGGCCGAGGCCGAGCGAGATACCGTTTCAGGCCAAGGTCGCCAACTCCGTCACCCTGATCGGTCGCATCCGCATGCCGGTTCAGTCCCAGGACGGTCCCGACGGCAAGCTTTGGGCGGGCACCGTCGTCACTCGCGACAAGTCTCCGGACTCTCCGCCGCTCTGGTTCGTTCGGCCATTCTTCGTTTTTGGGTTTCTCCTTTCTCAGATACTAGCTAAAGAATGTGCGCGTGGAGAAGTGAAAGCAGTTCAATTTATGTAGAGAAAGAGAAAATGTGTGATGATTCTCGTCATTTAGGGGCATGAATTTCGATGGTTGTGGGATCACTTAGCAATTATTCCGGCATTCCAATATAGAAGTTTGTCCATTTATGTATCGAACCACGATTATAATTTATCTTGATAGTATGCGTGGCCTCTCGAAAATTATGTGGAAAGATGTATTGGGTTTGCTTCATGCTGAGTAGACATGCTGTTCTTGGAATGCTAGTCGTGAGTATTCCACCGGGAGCATTTTTGTGAATCCTTTCGACTTTCTTCTTAACAGGATTCCCGTCACATTTGAAGGTGATTTGGCTCATGTCGCGGCTTCACATCTGAGAGAAAATGATCATGTCTGTATTGCTGGACAACTGAGTGCAAATCCACCCCCATGGGACGTTAACCAGGGTCAGACCAAGGTCCAGGTAATTCTCTGAACTGTAATTTTGATGGCACAACATCTTTGGATTGTGGGTTCCTCTTTACTTCTTTGAGTGAGCTGCTCTGGTTGTGTCACCCTTTCTGGGGTTCTAGTTGAAACAAATTATGTATCTGTTAGTACATTTAAAAGTTTTTTAGTCAGCGAATTTTCTTTTCAATCTGCATTGACGTGTTTAAATTGCTTTGCTTTTATATAGGCATAAATGTTTTGAGATATAGTGCTTGATAGAATGGATGGTGAATCCTACAAAATTTATAAATACGATATTGATAAATAGATTTTTGTACTGAGCCACCTGGTGAAATCATGCAATTCAGGTATCAAACCGTATGGTTCTGTTGGATCCATCTTCGAAATGATTTGACATGAATATGTGGGGAAGGTGAGCCAGAATCATGTGATCGACCAAGATTCTCGATTGCATTTAATTCTTTCCTCACAATCAGTCTCTATCCTCCGCAGCAGTATAACTCGCTAAAAACTCAATATGTGTGACTTTCATAATTCATCAAAAATTTAATTTTTAAAAGGGACTTAAACCTAGTTTAGTGATAAGATTTTGAGTTACTTTTACAAATACTAATTGACAGAACAACTAGATCAATGCAAAAAAAAATTGATCGAACAATTAGATCAGCATTAAAATGCTCCTGTTAGAACATTAGATACGTCAACTCATTTAAGTGCAATAAGATAATCCTATAACCATGCTAGTTTACACTAGACCTTGTCATCCTTTTTTCTTTCATTTCCTTCTGTTTGTAGAAGTCTAAATCTAAAAACGAGGCAATGTGAGCTAGAGAGAAGTGATCCTTAACAACTACATTGTGTAAGATCTCAATTTAATAACGTTATTGACATCAATTTCCTTGTTCTATTGAAGGAAAATGTGTAGGAGAATGCTAGTTTTGACAATGCAGAGAAAGAGGGGTGGTTGAGCATTCTAAATAATAAAGAACTTATACTTGGAGAACTTGTTCTCTATTTGTGAGGTAATATGATTGACTATGATAGATAACTCATATTTCTCCTGTAATATTCAAAAGCCCTACCGATAAGACAGTGCATTCATTTGTTATCCTTGATTCTTTTGCAGAATGTTTGGAATAGGGTAGACCTGTAAAAGGCGTGTTAAACTTGGATCTTCAGTATATTATTTAGCGTTCAAAACAACTTGGATCTCCAGTTTAGATCTAAATCAAACATTTTCTTGTTATCACAAGTATTCAGTTAAAGTAGTACTTCTTCTAGAATCCTAGGTTAAAGGTCCATTGGGAGTTTTATGGGTTGCCTTTTCCTTTTTCTATTATGTTCCTTATTCTATTTGAAGTTGGTCATTGTGCTTCTTATTTGGAGGTTGCTGAGTTCGATATGACTATAGAGGACACAATTGATTCTTCTATAATTAATGAAATTCATTGAATCTTGGGTAATCTGAGCTTGCACCCCAAAAGTCAGCAAGGACTTACCTGTTGATCCCATTATCCAAAAGGACAGATACAGCATAAGTTGGTTTTTAGTTTTGGTAATCCTTGCAAGTAACATCACATACTTTTAGGATAGACATCTTTCTTACTGAAATTATATCGACATCAGCGAATATCAGTAGCCTTTCAAAGCAATCTGCCGAATACCTGCATCACGAGCCTAATAACCTGAAGATGATGGATCACTTGTCGTAGTACTCTGGATCTTGAATGCTAGGGATCATTCAGATGACCTATTTATCAAAATGGAGTAAGATGTTATTGAGGTACCCTGCTGGATCCTATTGCACATCCGAATGCCAAATCTAAGAAATTACAAATATTACTCTAAGGCTTACCATAGCAAATGTAAGCATCTATGCAAAATGTTGGGAATGCTACAGTTTTCTGCACTTTATGCAGTTGTACTGTATATCCTAGAGTGACACCAAAACATATGTAAATCAGTTCTTGTCCATGAGGTTATTATGGTATATAATGTTTATTGCACAACTCTTCAACCTATAAAGTCTGTGTTTCATTGCCTTCGGTCTTATGATCTGAGGTTAGAATATTGAAGCTGGATGATCATTTCTATTTTACTTTGTTATTGACATC